TATATATATATATATATATATATATATATGACCCTAGTTTATAAATAATGAACCAAAACTGTTACATCATAAAAAGTAAATATAATATTTTTCTTAAAATAAGAGTTTTATGAAAAATGATAATGTGGTACATTTTACACGTATATATGAGTTAGTGCTGCCAAGAAAAGTAGCCATTACACATCACGGCACAAATTTTCAATGGGGAAAATGTCGCCAAGTCAAAAAGGGTCAGTTCCGACTGCCCTACCAGATTACTCCACAAAAGCACTACGCCTACACGCCTCTTCATACCAACTTGTTTCCTCTAATATACAATACTATTTACTACATACTAAAAAAAAAAAAGACTTTACTCTAGAATAAGTAAATCTAATTTTTGATGAAAAAATAAATAGTTAAATTTTAGAGATAATTCTGATTTATTAGGTATGTATATGTAATATTGAATTATTGACCATTAATATCTCGTTAAGAATTATAATTTTTATTTTAGAAATATTTTCTTAAGTGAGTTGTTACGTAAAAATAGCATCTTAAATACGTTTTGTTTTATATGTATATTTCTTATTATTTCATTTTAATTAATTGACTTAAACACTAATAATTTACTTGTTATCCATGTGATTGATAATAAATTGAATATCTCAAGTATGGTCTCGAATTTAATACATTTTATTTATTTATAAAATTTATAATAACGACGTTAAGATTTGAAATTAAAATTCTATAAATACTATTTCAATTCTAGAAATTGGATTGATCATAGTAGTTTAAACGTGGTGAGTTTAAAATGTAAAGTTTTATTGTTTGATTCAAATAAAGTATGCGATATGTGAGGTGATGTATTTTGCGAAGATGCATGGAAGCATGATTAGTATACGGAACGAGAATAAGGGTCAACTAAATTTCACCTAACCTTAAATTTTGGGATCCTGCGGTTGATGGCTTGCCTCTAGTATTTTACCAAGAAATGGAATGCTTCTTTGCTTTTGGTCGAAGAAAGTGACTTGGCTAAAGGGCATTTACGAGACTACAAAACATTGGAAGTTGGCGTGAGTTGGAAAGAGACAACCTTGTCCAACAATATAAATACAATGACAAACGAAGCAAATTAAAAAAGACCTTACCACTAAGGCAACCCAAACCAAACCACTCTAGTGAAAACCATACATAATAACGCCTCTTATTTTCTTCTCTTCTGCCTCCAAATATTTGCAAACAAGAGAAGAAAGAAGCTCCCTTGCTGAAAATACCAACTCTATATCTATCAATTTTTGAGTCATTTTGAAACACAAGTCACAATGGCAGCATTTATCCGAAGAATGGCAGTCACCTATTTTTTTGTGACATTGTTTTTTTCAGCAGGTGCCTTGCTTGTTTTCTTTTGTTTTTCTGTTCTCTATGCATGGTTTTGTTGTTGCATTTCCTTCTTTGTAATTTTTTAGCTCCACTAACTTGATAACATTGATATGGAAAAAGTAGAATAAGTTTGTTTTTTTTTTTTTTTCTATGAATCTTTCTATGGAAAAAGTAACAAATTTCAATGGTTTTGCAACCACAGATATTGGATTTTTTGGACGTGTTGCATCATTTGGAATCAACTACGGCCAAGTAGCTAACAATTTGCCTTCACCAGACAAAGTCCTTGAACTATTCAGCAACTTGAAGATCACCAAAACAAGAATTTATGACACCAATCCTCAGATTCTGAGTGTTTTTGCTCATTCAAATGTTGAGGTCATTGTGACAATTGAGAATCAAATACTAAACCAGTTGAATGATCCCCAACAAGCCCTTCAATGGGTGAGTGGCCACATAAAACCGTACCTCCCTGGCACAAAGATCACAGGGATTCAAGTGGGGAATGAGGTGTTCACTGATGGTGACACCACTCTTATTCAATATCTTGTACCAGCAGTTGTTAACATTCACAATGCTCTAGTTCAGTTAGGCATAGACTCCAACATTCACGTTTCAACACCATGTTCCTTGCAAGTGCTTCAAGAATCTTACCCTCCTTCAGCTGGTAGTTTCAAGAGTGAGATCTCTGGGATCATGTCCCAATTTTTAAACTTCTTGTCCACTACCAAGGCACCCTTTTGGATCAATGCCTATCCTTACTTTGCTTACAAGGATGACCCTAATAAGATTTCATTGGACTATGTATTATTCAATCCTAATGAAGGCATGGTTGACCCTAACACCAACCTACACTATGATAACATGCTTTATGCTCAAGTTGATGCAGTCTCATTTGCCATTGCTAAATTGGGTTTTAGTGGCATAGAGGTTAGGGTCTCTGAGACTGGTTGGCCTTCCAAAGGGGACCTCGATGAGGCTGGTGCCACAGTGCAGAATGCTCAAACGTACAACAGGAATTTGTTGAGAAGGCAAATGGCAAATGAAGGGACACCACTGAGTCCTAGAATGAGGTTGGAAGCATACTTTTTTGCATTGTTCAATGAAGACTTGAAGACTGGAGCAACCTCCGAAAGGAACTATGGCCTCTTTCAACCTGATGAGAGTATGACTTACAATGTAGGCCTGGCTGCTTTTGCAGCCTCATCCACTTCAGCCACTTCAATTTCTCTTAGCTCCTCTGCCACTAAGACAAAGGTAAAAATAAAAACCAGATTTTTCTTCCCCCCAACTCTACAAAAGTTATTTAGCATATAACAGCACTTGTATGACAGAAAAAGAAAATGTTAATTTAGACAATTGAGAGAATTGTTTCGATTTAAAAAGGGTCAATATGTAATTTACAGATAGTCAAATTTATGATTATATATTTTAGCAAAATATTTTCTCAAGTATACACTATCCTGCTATTTTTACATAGGTAGTTAGTAGTTGGTGCATTCTCATCATTGTCAATCTAATTATTTTTTTTTTTTCATCTCTTTAAATCAAATTTTACTTTGAAACAGGTATCATCAAAAGAATTTCAAAGCTTGTTCTTCTGGATGTGTGTGTATTTGCTGACTTCAGCCCTTTGTGGCTTTGTTTGAGAAGAATATTATTATTATTATCCTTTGGAGTGATTCATTTGTATATATCAAAATAACGAAAAGTTGGGATTTTACATCCTTCAAGTTGCAAAATGGAGTATCTCTAGTATAATCTATATTAAAGGTACCTATTTTGCAGAAATCAGGACCAACACACTTCCTAATCGATGGGGCAACGAAGAGGCATGGCAATTCATTTCAAGTTCAATTGGAAGATCACCTTTTATTGAGTGCTACACTTTCACCCATTTACCCCACCATTATTAGTCACAATCCAGCAAGAAGCATGTGGTGATGACGTTAGATTGAGCTTATTTTTAGGTAGATAAGGTCCAAAAGCCACCTTATTCTTTTATTATATGAATTGTCAAATAGGAAATATGTTTGTATATTGCTGATTCTGTAGAATTGTTTTGATTCATCCAAAGAAGAAAACAATATATGCGTAAGTTGCTGCTTGAGGAAAAGGTGTTGACTATAGAGGCTAGTCCTGTCTGCCTTATGCCTCACCTCATTGGATGCTAATAAAAGCCCCTTATTATGGGACGTGGAATCCATAACTGTTCTCGTTTGTGTATAAATAAATATAAAAGTAATTCCTGGTATTACTAATCTTTGCCCCTTTCCCCTTTTATCAACTTGTGTATTTTATCATAGTACAAAGTTCAACAGAGATATGATACAATGAAAATGTAATTAAAGTGCACAAAGTTAAGGCTTTGTTTGCCTCTTATTATCCTCAAGCGGACAATAGGACGGTTCTGCTTTATTCCCTGGCCAAATAACCGTCAGCATAGGGTCATTGCCCACCCCTTTTCCAAAGGTGGCTTTATCAGTTTTTCTATTTTATTTATATTTTAAAGGGGACAATCAAACTTCAGCCTTATCAGAACATGATGAGCATTGGTCTAGCTCTTTGACATAAATGAAGGTGTATGTGCATATGAGCCCCTCAAATTCTCAACTAGACCCACCTCAAGAGAAAACAAAGTTGCACAATAAAATACAAGGCCAATTTGCAAACAAATCCCACCAAATGCCTTTGCATCGTCATCGCCTTGAGGAACTGAACATTCTGATTTAAAATTGCTTCCTGCAGACAACTGTTATATGACAGCATTTTGGCCTTTTTAAATTTTGATTATTAGTCCAATATGACACATTCCTAAGTAGGGGCCCCATCCCATAATAATTTCAGCTAGTGCTTTGACCAAGACAGAATTGGAAAAACAGTTTGATGAGAATACCAGTGTTAAACACTCTGGAGATCTCCACTGATACACATTAAGTCAAAATCTATCACCCTGCACGAACTTCAACATGGCCCTGCTAAATTTTAAGGGGCAATGGCGAAAAAGATTGTCATATCATTAAAAGCTTGCATACAGAAGTACCTTTGTAACTATGATTCAACGGCTGCATAAGTTTTTCTTTTTATAACCTTGGAATGTATGCAAACTTATTTTCAGCATTTCAATTCTACCTTTCCTCAGAAACTTTTGATGATCATTGATGGTCTTGAAAGGTATGGTTTGGGGTGGCTCAATAGGAGGTCTCCATGTGTCACTTAACAAACAAAAACCAAGTTCCCCGGTGTACAACATACAGGAAAATTTACAGTTTTCCGCTGTGAGATCACTTATGATAAGATTTTGTGAAGAAATTCCAGTGTTTAGCAGTTGGAAAACGAGCAACAAGCAGATGGGGCTACATATTTTGGCTTCAATAGCCTCACACCTGAACATGAAAAGAAATAACAGAAATGAGCCACCGATTTAAGGTGCTTTTGTTTTGTGAAACCTCTTTTTGAAGGATGTGTTTTACTTCGAATGTCGTGCATAGATTGCTCAAAACTTTTAATTCACTTAATTGTTTTGTCAATTCAACATTTAGTAAATGTATACTATATTGCTGTTATATATTTCTCGATAGAAAAATTTTACAAAACGTAAACGAAATCACTCAAATTCATGAACCACCAAGGTCATAAAAAAATTAACTCATTCTTTTTTATAAAAAAAATTAAAAGTTTAAATTTATTTTTAATTCTTCAAATTTAAAATTAATCTTATTAATTTATATAATTTTAAAAAATATTAAATTTTAGTCTTTTAAATTATAAGTAACATATTTGACAGTGTCAAATTAAGATATTTATAATATATTGTATATTTTATATATTTGATGGTAAATTTTGTATGTCAATATTACACAAATTTATTAACAAAATTTAATCATAAGAATTAAAATAATATTTTTTCAAATTACAGAAACTAAAAAAAAAAAAATTAAATTTGATATATAAAAAAAATTACTTTAAATTTAAAAGAGTAAAAATAAATTTAAGCTAAAAATAAATTTATCTAAAATTAAGTACGCAAACTCATCCAAAAGACGACCTAAGTGCGATTCAACTCGTCATATTTGTAATAATTGTATTCTTTCCGATGGATAAAAAAAAAATCAATTACAAACCAGTACTGTGGAAGTCATGTGATAGTAATAAAAAAAGATTACGAAGAAATCAATTACAAACCAGTACTCAAATTTAATTTTTACTCCAATTAGCATATATATTATTAGTGACCTGATTAGTCAAAAAAAACCTTGGTAGTAATTTTTTGTACAAATGTATTCATACAAAATAACTGCTCTCGGAGTATGTCGTCTCGATTGCACCAGCGGTGGAACAATATGAAAATGCCAGCTCTTATGACCTCTAGTCAAGTCCAACCATTAAAAACCCAGACTAATGAAGAACAGACAATACAAGAGAAAAAATGGCACAAGTCATAATTTGTTTTGCGATGATGCATTAGTTTTAAAACTCAACCTATGTCACAACAAATATTTATTCAGTGAACATCAATCGCACTGGCCAAACCGAAAAATATTCTTCATTTTTTAAGAAACGATAACAAATGGAACATTAATTCCCAGAAGCCAACTGTTTTAATACCCTCCAGTCTTCTTATTCCACCACTCCAGAAACTTGACCTCAGCAGCCAATGTGTCTACCCTGTAAAGTTGAAGTGCATGATTTGCGATTTCATGCCCAAAAGTCCACCCAAACACACCTCCAGCTAAAAATGACAGTCCAGCGCCTGATCAATATAGTAGGGGGAAGAAAAAGATTAACAACGTATTTGAAATACTTCCATACTACTTTTATGACAAAAAGCTACATAAAAGGCAAACATATATTTTTCATCCCTTATATTATTTATTAATATCAATTTAGTCCCACTTTAATTAATTGAATCAATTTAGTCCCATATCTTTAAAATGTATCTCAATGTTTGACCTTCCGTTTCCTCTATTTAAATACTTAACAGATCTGACACGTGGCATGATATCATACCAAATGTCATGTCATCATGTCACGTGTCATGTCATCATGCCACGTGTCATGTCATCATACCACGTGTCATGTCATCATGTCACGTGTCATGACATCATGTCATGTGTCACATCCGTTAAGTATTCAAACGGAGAAAACGGAAGGTCAAACATTGATATACATTTTAAAAATAAGGGACTAAATTGATTCAATTAATTAAAGTGAGACTAAATTGATACCAATAAATAATATAAGGGATGAAAAGTATATCTTTGCCCTACATAAAACTTTGTATGCGAAATATTATAAAACCAAGTTAGAGTCTAAAACATTTTCTAGTGTCAACAAAGCAATAATGATGCCTGCTTTTGCTTACTATATGATAATCAAGTGAATATCCAAAAGAATTATGCTGTAGAAGAAGATTTCAATAGTATGAGAAGCAGTAGATTACCATGTAAACTCCTTGAATATTTCCAGGCATAGCCAGCGGTAAACAATGCTCCCAAAGCACTTCCGGTGAGGCCGAATTGCACTGCTTCTCTAGCACTTTTCAGCTGAAATCAGAAAAAGGAAATTACCCATGCAGCATTTCAGATCACAGCTATTTTGAAGTAAGAACTCAATATTAACTTCAGATTCCAGCAGGTGAAATATTCATATTTCAAAAAATGCAGAAAATGATAACATACACAAACAGTTACTGATATAAAAAGGGGTTAGCAACATACAATAAACTTGACAGCCACAAAGAGTTAATGGTACACTATGGGTTAGCAACATAGATTTATTGTCATTTTCCATTTATTAAGAGAATCAGCTTCAACATGATCAATAACAAATGAAACAAAAAAATATAATGTCCCATTATGAATTGTTTTATACAATATATGTTTTTCCTCTTTTGGGGAGAGTCAGGGGATGTTTCAAGGGATCACCCTTTGATTCCTTTATATTATAAAGATCACAACCACTGAAAGGTCGATAAATGTTGTCATGTCTACTAGTTAGATCACATTACAACAATAATCCATATTAGTAAAATCAATGAATGATGAAAAGTGATGACCACCATAATGATGTCTAAAGGACATTCAATTGATGGAAGAACTCAATTGTGTTGAAAGGACAAAACATTTGAAAAGGACATAGTTAATGCCCAGCTCAAAATTGACTAGATTAGAATGGAGCATCCCAATAATTTCAAAGGAAATCAGAGTTCCTTAACTTTGCTTCATAGGTTAGTAAGTAGTAACTATTAAATCTGCCTATGCCTAAAAGTACCGATCATCTACTGGGAGCAATTCCACTTAACATGTCATTAAAGATTATTTGTCTAAGTTGGTAACTTTAAACACTTAGATAGTAGTGCGAAAATACTAAAGATAGCAAGTGAATGACGCGGTGCAGCCAACCTGACATAACATTGCCAAGAAAGCAAAAACTGACATGTATATGGTGATTGGTGCCACATTCAAGTTGCTTGTCAAATAGCATCTTATTGGAGGTAGTTTCAAGAGGATCGTCCCACCAGTGGTGTTGGAAACATGCTCAGTTCTTTCATCTCTTCGGATTATTAGAATGACAACCAATCGAATATAGACAAATGCTATGTCTAATGAGTGATGACATTATACAATAATGCATATTAGGGAAACCAACCAATGATGTAAAGAGATGACCACCATATTGATGTCCCAGGGATGTTCTGTTGATGGAAGAACTCTATTATGTTGAAAGGACAAAACTTTAGAAACACACATGGTTAATGCCCAACTCAAGATTGAGCGTATTACAAATGGAGTATCCTAATAACTTCAAAAGAAGCCAGAATTCATTAAGAGGGTGTTTGGTAATAATTGTGTCAAGGAAAATAATCAGTATTTTAAGTAATAAAAAAGTGATTATTTTATCAACGTGAGGTGAAACTAACCAGAAAACATTAACATAGCTTCATACAATGGAACTCAATGCCTAAAAGTGTCACCCTCATTGATTGTGAGATGGGATTTGAATTACTATCCATAATGGTAATTGCAGCCACATCAGTAAAGTATGGGAAGTTTCTGCAATCAACTAACAACATCACAACCACAATTTTAATAAACTTAGCCATAATTTAAAACCATAATTGTGAGTGACTCCATATAACAAGTCATCTAATGTTATTTTTCTAAATCTGTGACTGTAAATACTTAAAATTCATATAAAAATACTGAAGATTATGGAGTGAATAATGCAAAACCAATTGAAGTGGTATGCAGACATGAGATATGCAGTGTGGCCAACCTGGCATCATAGGGCCAGGAATGCAAAATATACAGATATATGGTTCCATATTTGAGTTACTGGCACAATAGCACCTTGTTTTAGGTGAGACCAGTGGCTTATTCCATCTGGCCCAGATGGAGCAACTGCTTTCCATTTCTAGATGTGTATTCTTAGTGTAAACAAACTAAAAATAAATGCAGTAACATTGGGACAGAAGCAGGACTGATGAATGAAAAAAAATGCTGAAATTTCCAACTCATTGTGCAAGTGCAAACATGTATCTTAAACTCTTAAATGTTTTTGTTCTTTAATTAGTCTCACTAACTTTTTGTCAAAGTCTTATGCCATTTTTATACTAGATAAATAGATTTAAAGCTTTTACAATTTTACATTTGACGTGTTTTCTTTATCAATAAAAGGACAAGTACATAAGAGTCCGCACCACCTTCCCCCAGACTTTCCTATACAAGTAAAGCACAACTTGTCTTCTACTTCTGACTAAGCGAGCAAAGAAGGAATCTCTTTGGATATATGCTCTCTATAAACAGTTTGTAACATAACAGTCCTCGTAGTCCAAATAAATTTTTCATAGAACAGGAATATAGCAATTAAATCAAGTAGCATTTTACTAAAAAAGAAAACCCAACACCAAGAAATATAACATCAGAAACCAGATTAGAACATGCAGTACACAAGAAGGTAAAATTACAAACTAAAACTAACCAATCACACACACACAACACCCAAATGAACACCCCACACTAAAACATAAACAAATGATATAGAAAGAATATGCAAACATTCAAAATAACAAAGCAAAGAACACCTATCTATGACGACATCCTCAGAAGACACAAATGGGGATGATTAAGTGAGAGAATCATTACCACGGGCCCATGAACAGGATCAGAAGCAATGAACTCCTCGACATCAGAGGTGGACCAGGAAGGGATGGGTTTATCACGGTTGATGAACTTGGAATAGTTGCCCAAAAAGGAAAACCTCTCTGACCAAAACTCTTTGTAGCCTTCCCAGTAGGACTGCGATGACGAACCTTGTGCGTTGTCTGCCATCACTCCTTTCCCTTTCACTTGAATCCCTCTGCAGTAACCAACCAAATTCACTTCAACACAAAAGATCCATAACTGAATCATGTAAAATACAATAACTACATCAAAAACGCAGAATTTCTTCGCATAAATCATTCCCGTGAAAGCCAAATCTTAATCGAAATCGAATTAAATACACCCATTTTCCTATTCGTAAATTAATTGGAATCAGAATCACTCAGGATATCTTCCTTCAAAGGAGAAAAAGAAAAAACAAATGCTAATAATTTGAAAGAAATCGATTGGATGGATTACAAGCTCAATTAAGCAAACTCGGAGTACCAAAAGGGGAATAAGAGTACATTACCGAAGCAGCTACAAAAGTATGGATGACCAAGATAAACAGTCGCTCTAGCTAGCAGCCCCGTTTTACGAACTGAAAACTCAGACAACAATGCCCATTATTATGCTTTCAGATCCATCATTTTTGCGTCATATATTTTCTTTTTGTAACATTTTTACTTTCTATGTGAATTACAATAATTTAATAATAGATTATTTATTATATAATATATTCAAATATATAAATTATATAAGTTTATCTCTATCCAAATTTTTAAACATATAATTCATATTTTAAATTTATAATAAATAATTATATTCTGTATAAGATAATTTTTAATTATTGATAATTTATTTTAAAATATTAAAATTTAGTTGATAAAAATTACAATAATAAAATCCAAATTAAATCTAAAAACACTATCACTATGTACGATATAGTTGATTGTATTAAATATACAAGAGTGGCTACATCTAAGAGTTAATTACCTGCAATGGGTTAGTTTAAGAAGAAGAAAAAAAACACTCCTAAAAATGTTTTTTTTTATTAAAAAAAAAGCAAACTAGGATATTAAATAAAAGTTAATACATGTCTAATTTTATTTAAATCAAAATAAATATATAAATTACTAGGATTTTATAGGAATAAATAAACACTCATTGTGCTTCCTAAATTTGTAAGGCTTATTATATTGGTTCTTAAAGTTAAGAAATTATCAAATAAGTATTTAAAATATTAAATAAGTATTTAAATTTAATTATTTATTATTATTTTGATCTTTGAATATATATATATATATATATATATATAGTTAATCATCTATACATTGTCAGTGTAAAGTTTTTTATACTGATAACCAAACATATCTTTTAAAGTTACTTATTTTATTATTATTTCATTAAATAAGCAACTGACATGACACTATTAAAATATATGATTGGTTGCCAATGTAAATATATATATATATATATATATCAATATTATAATTTTAGTGAATTTAGTCACACATTCTTTTTTAGGTTTGGACTAACATCATTGTTAATTTTTTCCTTTTTTTAAGTATTTATTTTACAATTTTTTTTTTATTTTTAGTAGCATTTTAAAAATCATACTAGTTATTGAACAAGTTTACACATTAATTCAAGGTTAAATAATTTAACTGTAATTGAATCGTAATCAAATCAATATTAATAAAATAATAATAATTAATAATATATAAAATAATACTAAGTAAATATAATATCTAATTTTATGGCACTAAAAAATCAGCCTTTATAAATTAAACATAAACTTCTATCTTGTGCAAGAATATTTTTAAGGGATTTTTCTTCAACAAGAAGGTTTGTAAATTTTTTTAATATTTTATCTAATTCAATTTTTATTTATTATAAATTTATTAATTAAATATTAATATTTTAAAATAAATTATTAATAAATAAAAATATTTTTTTACAATACCAATTATTTATCATAAATCTAAAATATAATTTATATGTTTAAAAATATTTATATATACTTATTTTAAATATAATTTATATATTTAAATATAATATTTTTTATATATAACTTATTATAAATTTTAATTATATTATATATAATAAACATACTTGTATATTGTACAAGTCAAAATACTAATTTAAATATAACATCATCTATAGGCCCTTAACATTTAATGTATACTCAAATCTAAATTAAACATGATATAATATCTAAGTTCAAATTTTAATAAAATATAGTAATATTCATCAACAAGAATAACTTTATATCTAAAATAAAAATATATTAAATTAATATAATATAAAATATAAAAACTTAAGATATAAAAATATACAAATTAATATAAATGGTTAAATTATATTTTTTATAAGAAAAGAATGAAAAATATTTAATTTAGAAATTTTATTAAATATACATCATCATAATTATTAAAATTATTTGAATAAAGTTTTAAAATTTTCAATAAAAAGTTAAAAAATATTTTTAAAAATATTATTTTAAAAAGGATATTTCAAACCGATTTTTATATTGGCTTCAAACCAATTCGAACAATTTTTTACTGGTTCAAGAATTGTCTAGTTATAATTTATAATTAGATTACACGTTTCATTGATTCTCAATCCGACTGATCGAATTATCTAATTTAGTATGATTTTCAAAATAATTTTTAATGTAAAACAAATATAATGGTGCTTTTCAAATTTGAGAACTAATTTGAATGTTTACTTGATTTTACGGGATATCTAATAGAGATAAAACAAAAAGAAATAATATAAAGTGAAGTGAAATATATTCAAAATGTATTTTTTCTTTAGATATTTTATGATGCAACGTAATAATATTTTGTTCCATTATTATGTTTATATATATTTATTTATTTTAGTATAAACCACTAATACTTTTTAAGATTTAATAATAATACATCCACAATGTAAATATTATTATTGAATCACAATTCACATAATAGATTTATTGATTTTTATAATAATTATTTTAAAAATAATATAAATTTTATTTTTTTATTAGTTGATTGTATTAAATTTTTTACATTGTAACACTATTAAACTCTATTTTTATATTAAAAATAACTTTATTTAAGATAGAAATGATTGTTATGAAAAAAAATCTCGATCAATTATTGAGTAGTAAATATAGAAGAAAGAATTATAATTTTCTTATACTTATATTTTCATAGTTAAAACTGTTATATGTAGGTAAATAAAAAATTATTAAATTATGCTTTTAAAATTTCTACACCTCCATTAGCTGAACGAGGACGGCGTGAAAAGTAGTAAGGATTATGACGGAGTGGTCATAATCCAACTTTTCCATTAATTTCATCCAATTCGAGATTAATTTTAATGAGCTTGAGTTTTGATACTTGATTGGTATAATATCAATTTGAATTATATTATTTTTAAATATTATAACGATTCGGTAAATTAATACATTTTACAACTTGATATTTAAGTTGAGAAAATAAATAATTAATTTAATTATATTGATGTGATAATACAATAATATTTGAATATTTATTTAATAAATATATGTATAGAGTATAAAAAATATAAGTAATTTTTATCAATATAACTTTAAAAAATAAAATTTCTAAAGGAGTTATAATAAATTTCTATACATATATACAATATACATAGAGTATATTACTAAAAACATAATTCTAATATTGGTTAAGCATACTCTATACAAGCTACATCACGGTAGCCTCTAATAAAAGAGCGTTATCTCTAACATGACACTTAAGCAGTCAATCTTCCATCCTAATAATCCATTACTCTCATATTAATATGATTATCGTAGTCTAACAATAAGGAAAATGCAAGAGTAAGCTTATAGACAACATAAAATAAAAGAAGATAGTTATATCATCATATCACAACATAACATCATCTAAACATAATGATGACTCAGTGCTCAACTTCACAACATATATCAACTTACAACATAGATTTATCATTAATACAACTTTACAACACAACAACTACTCATAGCACAACTACTCAATAACACAACTTAAAAAATATTGCAACATAGCAACACAACAACATAATATGTCGGCACATATTTCAATTAAGAAATCTCTTACAATGAGGTGAGTAGTCTAAGTAGCTTAACCCTATTAAACCAACTTAACAACGTGATATCAATAGCAAATTTGGATATCAACCCATAACATAAAATGATTTCTTGAGTTTTGCCAATTAAACTAGGAAAGTCTAGTATTTTTATTAGGAATAAAACAATTTGGGTGTAAGTTTACCATAACCTTAGCATACATAACTATGCATATATAAAATTAGTCCGCCGACTACCCTTTAAATATTGTGTCCTTTCCAAAACTTAGAAATTTTGGCTCTCAGCCTTGTATGTAACGACTCGTCGTAGTCATCACATTACGAAACAACATTACACACTACTGAAATATATATACTAAAATAGTATAATAAAATAATTACAACACAAGTTGCAAATCAAACAACCCACAACAACTAGCTATATACAAAAAAATATGCTACTATAAGGTAGCCTACAAAAAAATATCCAACTCTAGGCACCTCTTGTGGCCTCTAGCAGCTATCTCCCAACCTATCCTTGTCCTGCTCTCATACATCGTATGATCATCGCAGTCCAAACCACATGGAAACATGCAAGGGTAAGCTAGAGACAATAAACAACTTATAATAATTAAATATGCAACACACCAACTATATAATCATCTTCACATCCAACATAGAAGACAACAACACATATACTATACATCTTAACGTCATTTCAACTTGATTCAACATATCACCACTGTCTTAACACTTCAACATAACTACTGTACAAAACATTGGAATAGTTACCATATTCATCATAACAACAAGCAACACATGTATTGCACACCTCTCAACAACACATGTTTAAAAGCAACTTACAACACAGGTAATCTAGCGACGCTAGCATCATCATCAACTTGTATACAAATAAGTAACTTACAACATAACAGCACTATCATCATCCTCAACAGTGTCAACAAACAACACAATCACAGTTTAACAACACAACAATATATACAACTTATATCAACAATAAAACAACTCATCAACAACTTATGCGTCGTCACGTATTTCAACTCGGAGATCTCCTACAACATGGTGAACAGTCTAAGTGGCTAGGCCTTACAGAACCGACAACAAAGAACCTTTTTTGGGCTTGCTAGGTAAACAACAAATTTGGATATCAATCCACAACTTCACGATTTCTCAAACTTTGCCACTTAAACAAGGAAGTATAGTACTCTGTCAGGATAGATCAGCTAGGTTTAGGCCTACCACGACATTAGCTAGCTTAACTAAGCCACATATGAGATTAGCCTACTGACTATCCTCTAAATACTATAACCTTCCGATACTCGGTTAGGAACTAAGTTCTCGACTTCGTACTTTACTCGAATTGGCCGCTTGTAATCGATATAGCTCGACCTTGCCCCTATACCGTGGTCGCTTTGTACACGTGTGCCTCGACCTTGCCCACACATGGGACCAACTAAGTCCTAGAGGAGAACAACACAACATTCACTCCAAGGGACAACTTCCCAAGGAGGGTTTTCAACAAATTGGGCTCTCAGAGCACCACAACTATCTCAATCCGCACA